GAACAGGTTAGGGAGGCGGGGACGAGCTGGACTGGTTTTGGGATGCGGTAGGGGGAGGGGAGATTTTGAAGCTTGTGAAATCCACATTGATACCATTGGGCTGCAGGGTTCCCAAGCGGAATATGAGTTGCTGTTCCTGCAACCTTCGGGTGTCATCGTTGTGGCACTGCAGGAGCCCCAGGATAGACATGTCGTCTGAGGAATGGGAGGGGGAGTTGAAATGGTTCGCGACTGGGAGGTGCAGTTGTTTATTGCGAACCGAGCGTAGGTGTTCTGCAAAGTGATCCCCAAGCCTCTGCTTGGTTTCCCCGATGTAGAGGAGGCCACATTGAGAACAGTGGATACAGTATACCACATTAGCAGATGTGCAGGTGAACATCTGCTTGATGTGGAAAGTCTTCTTGGGGCCTGGGATGGGGGTGAGGGAGGAGGTATGGGGGCAGGTGTAGCACTTCCTGCGGTTGCAGGGAAAAGTGCCGGGTGTGGTGGGGCTGGAGGGGAGTGTGGAGCGGACAAGGGAGTCACGGAGAGAGTGGTCCCTCCGGAAAGCAGATAAGGGTGGGGAGGGAAAACTGTCTTTGGTGGTGGGGTCGGATTGCAGATGGCGGAAGTGTCAGAGAACTGAGACAGTTTGGTATCTAGTGAAGCTGTAGGCTGCTTCGTCAAGTCTACCTTTAAAGTTTGAACTGTTCTTCCTGCTGGATCATTGGATGATGGATGGAATAGAGCTGTCCTTTTATGTCAAACTCTATTTGACTTTAGGTAATACTCAAATTTCCTGCTGGTAAACAATGGTCCATTACCTGTGACCAACATTTCCAGGAGTCCGAGTATTGCAAAATATGCTCACAGTTTTTCTATCATCATTCCCGTGTTTGATGAATGAGCTCTATACATGTCCAACCACTTTGAGTTGGCGGTCACAATGACTAAGAACATTGAGCCCATGAAAGGACCTGCACAGTCGAAGTGTAACCAAGTCCAGTGTTTACCCAGCTATTCCCATTAATCTGGGGAAGCTGCTAGTGATACTTTTTGTCCTTGTTGACATTCTGGGCACTGCCCAACCAACAAAGCTATGTCTGCATCCAAGCCTGGCCAGCAGACATAACTTTTCACCAACATCTTCGTTTTGGTGATCCCTGGATGACCCTGATGGAGTTCAGCCAGTATCTGGCAGTGACCTTTGCTTGGGACAATCACTCTTGTTCCCATAATAATACTCCATCCTCTATGGTTTTTTTGGTCTCTCAGGATCCAAAATGGTTTCAATTCTGGTTGTGATGGCCTTTGGTTTCCCCCATCACTACCAGCTGTTTCTGTTTTGCTAGGATCGGATCTTTGTGCGTCCAAATTCTGATATTGTCAGCTGTGACTGGAAGTGTGGTAGATTGGCCATGCTAAATTGCCCATAGAGTTCAGGGATGTGTAGCTTAGGAGGGTTATAGGGGGATGGTCTGGGTGGGATGCACCAAGGTCAGTGTGAACTTGTTGGGCCAAAGGGCCTGTTTCAACACACTGTAGGGATTCTATGAACTGAAATTCTATGAAATAAAAAATTTAAAACCATTACGGACCCTTCCAGTGGCAGTCCCACTGGCGGTGTATCTGTCAGCAGGAAGTGGCTCAATGCATCTGCATTTGACACTTGGCCTCCCGCCAGTGTTCCAAGTTGTAATTGTACACCCTTAGTATTAGAACTCACCACTGAATTCAGCCTGAAGCTATGGGCGGCATTGCCATGCTCTCATTAAATAGACCTAGTGGGGGTTTGTGGTCTGTTATTATTACAAATTTATGTCCATAAAGGTATTGTTGGAACCTCTGACTCCAAATGTGACCACTGAACCTTCTTTCTCTACCCGACTGTATTTATCCTCTGCATCAGCCAAAATCATAGATGCATATGCTCTTGGGCATTCTGCTCCATTGGCTACCTGTGAGCTAATACTACCCTGATGCCATACAGGTAGGCATCACATGTCAATATGAGAGCTTGCTTGACATCATAGTGTGCCAATACCTTAGAGTATGATAGCTGTTTCTTCACTTCCCTGAAAGCTATGGCTTGGCTATGCGACCATTTACGAGGCTGACCCTTTCTAAGGAGCTGATGAAAAGGTGCCAGGATGGAGGCCAGTTTATGTATGAACTTCCTGTAATAATTCACTAGCTCGAGGAAAGACATAAGATCCTGTACATACATGTGAGCAGGGC